GGCCAAGTTCAAGGCGAACGGTAAGCAGTTAAATTCGAAAAGCTGATCCTGAAACTGAAACCTTAGAAATTTTTTACGTGGCGCGTCAGTGAGGACTCAGAAGTATGCCTTGTTGGTTAATCATACCCATCTATTAATTGGATAAAAGGAGTTTACCTACTGCTTTAAGGCCTTAGAGTTTGAAGTTGTTTTTTGCAATAAATTTATTCAGACCAGTGAGATTAAAGATGAACCTGTAAGAGCCATCATGTTTAAGGCGAGGATAAAAATTGTCCTCAGGCTGGCTTACATTTGCTAACTACGCCCTTTAGGATAAGTTTGTCTACTTCAGCTTTTATTTTTAGTTGTTTTGAGTTAGTATTGAGACTAATCACTGTTACGCATGACTGCAAAGGTATTTCAGAAAATTATTAACTTGTAATCTGATACGCATCTAAGGGCAAACTTGTCTAAAAATAGTTCCGCCCATTTTTCCGAAAAATAGGCAAGTCTGCCTCCCACTCTGTCTACATTTACGCTGGTTATGGGGTGGTTTCTCCTGCGACGGTGTACGAGCAGTTTTCCTGATCCTCTTCTATGGGTGGAATAACAAGGGTAAACCGGTTACCTACAGGCTCAGTGAGTTAAAAGACCTTTTTCTGAAGGAGGAGGGTTTCTTTTTGTTCTTATCCTAGAAACCAAACAGTTGAGAGCAGGCTTAAGGCCCCTTGATTTTTTTGATAAAGTAATTCATAAATAAATATTTAGTTGGTCAAGTGGCCTCGAGCACCAATTTTAGTTCCTCAGATATGACAAAGATAAATGGTTTTGGCTCGAAATCTAGACAGGCTGCATATTTGCTTGGATAGTAGGATACTCGTATCATATAGGTTTTGGAACATCCACTGCTTATTCAGTTCAATAAGCCTGTTCTACTATTACATATCTGCTGTAAAGTATTGTACTGGGGTAGGGTTAACCTCTGGGTTTTGCAACTCTGTGAGCCCCACGAGTTTTTTTTCTAGTTATAAACAGACAGGTTTTTTCACCCAGTTTGTCAGTGAATGCTTCTAGCGCTAAAGGATCTCCAAGTGTAGCTTGACCTCTGAGCTCTTGCGAGTCTCCACGTCATCAATGAGGACGGTGAAAAAGATCAGGTACAAAGGCCTCTTTGTTTGAGGCTCCATCTCCATACTTTCCTTCTCTGTAATAAGCATTGTGTTATCGAACAGAAGAGGTACATCCTCCTACGTATGGCTAGGAATGTTTTCACGGAAAGATTAGCCTGTGCTATGAAGTCACAGGTCCCTCGTAATGCGTATGTGGGAGTAAGAGAACACTATGCTCTATGTATTAAATCCAACGAGCTAGCACACGCATAGACATCTTTATACGCATTTACATCTCAGCTTTTCTGCTTGCGATGTGTGTGCGTAAGAGAAAAAGACCACTGCTCTTTCTCGATATGTTAAAAAACAGAAGTAAGGATGTCACGAGAGAAAAAGGGCTAGCTAGCAGCCTTACGTTCTCGTTTATCATGATTTTACACAGAGAAAAATGTAATTCTACGATTAAGAATGAGTCTGTTTTCCATACTTAATTAGAAAAACATCTTTTTTTACGCACTATTCTGGAAAAAAAAAATTAACATAATAATGCTGTCAACTCTTCACATACAAAATGAATAAAATGACTTTTTGTAAAACTACTTCTGTTAAGAATTGTTGATTTTTTGAAATAGCTCCCTAAATATTTATGCAAAAGTTCGTCGTTGTACTTTAATTTTAAGAGAGAAACATAAGTACTTTGAAAAATTNACTGCAGAGATTTGATCAGTTACCGTACCAGCGCAAAATTCAAATAGCAAGGCCGAATTATTGTAACCGGAGATCTGATTTTTGAAAAATGATTACACACGTCCACTACGCTTATTCAGTGCATATTTTTTTCTCAGTAAATTTCACAAAGAAGCAATTCAATTCAAATTTTTTTGAACATGCATCGCCTGATAAAAAAAACCAGAATGTGAGAGGGTCTCATGCGTTGAGCTCGAATACTCAGTCAAACTCTTGATCGTTTAACGTTGAACTACTTGGAGATAAAATTTTAATTTTTTGTATACTGTAGAACAAGCTCATTTCACGCATTAACTTGGTAAAATTTTTTATTTCATCAAACTTTTCAGTCTGATTTACGAAAATAAAAAAAATAAAAAAATAATAAATGAAATTACGATTAAGCAAGACATGTGCGCTTATGGGGCACACCTCTGTAACGTGTGAGATTTTACTAAATAAGGATCAGTATTTAATCCATACGAAGCTTTATCGTCTAAGAAATAACAGCTACATCTAGAAACTAGAGAAAATCTCACGCTTTCAGTGCGATGGCTTAGCGTGAATCAGAATGCTTATTTTTCCATCTACGTGTCGATAGGTCTTAAACCTCTTGGTTACTGGAGTACCACATGACTATTTGAAAAAAAAGCAAGAAACTTCCGCGCATCAAGCTAGTTCATTTATTAAAAATCTTCTAAATCTAGAGCTTACATTATCTAATTTCAAAACATAACTATTCTTATGCCCTCCAACATCATAAGCACTAAAAGTTCAAGTAGTTGGAAAGGTCCAACATGGTGAGAGTAATTGACTAGCAGAAGCCGCAATTTTTATTTCTGTTTCCTTTTTTTTTTTTTTTATCCATGGAAAAAAATTTACAAAATTTTGAAACTACTTTAAGATAAAAAAAA